TCCGGATCTTATCTTCGTTTTGATGCTGAGTGCTGTTGGCCTCCACACAGACTTGACGTGAGTAGTGAAAGCTTGCCTTGCTTTTGCGATTCTTGCTTTGATATCCTCGTCAGTTCCGTTCACCTGTAGTTGAAACGATGCTTCCCAAGTAGGTAAAAGAGGTTGTTTCTTTCAGATTCCTTGCATTTATGCTGAATGCTGTTTGTTGTTGTTGTTGCTGTTGGTGGTGTTGCCCAGGAATCTTCATCACCTCTGTTTTCTCTATGTTTACCTGAAGTAAGTCTCATCTTCTGTGGATGCTTCTTCTGCCAACTTGTTGCTTTTCGCCTGCATATCTTCCAGTTTGTGCAAAATCAGACATATATTATCGGCGAAGTCCAAATCCCCCAAGTTTTTTGTGTGAGTTCATTTTATGCATGTTTCCTCATTGCCCGCTGTTTGTCGCATTATCCAATCTACTGCAATCAGGAAAATCATTGGCAATAGAAGACAGCTAGCTTGTCTTACTCCTGTCCTCAATTCGAAGGATTCCGTAAGTTTCGCGTTGTGGATTACGTGGCATGCAGCATTGTAGTAAAGCTGTTGGATGAGATGTATAATTGTCTGTGGAACCACATAGTAGCGAAGTAGTTGCCGAAGCACCTCTCGATCGACGCTGTCGAATGCCTTTTCAAAGTCGATGAAGTTGAGATAGAGAGGTGACTGCCATTCCGAGCTTTGTTCAATGATGATCCGTTGCGATCTGATCAATGCATGGCTTTTTTCTCCTGAATTCAGTTTGTTCCGGTTGAAATTTTTTATCCAGTGCATGTTTGGTTCTCTTCAGGATGGTGCGGCTTAGTATTTTGCTTGGGATGAAGAGGAGCATAATTCCGCGCCAGTTCTTGCATTGACTTAAGTCTCCTTTCTTTGATAGTTTGAATAAGTATGCTTTCTTCCAGCCCTCGGGTACTCTGCCTTCTTTCTTCACCTTCTCTAGTAGTGGCATCATCAAGTCCGCTGTTGTCTCTGGGTCCATTTTCAATGCTTCTGCTGGGATTCCATCTGGTCCTGCTGCTTTTCCAGCTTTTAGCATCATGATTGCCTTCAGGACTTCTGATTTCGTCGAGGGGTTGGTGTTCACTGGTAGCTCTGTCTCCGTTGTTGGTATTGTTTGAAGAATGAAAATCTATAAAATTTCATCAAAAACCGTGTAAGCTTAAAACGAAATACCAACAAGAAACCATCCTCAAAGACCACAAGAAAATTCATTCTTTCGTGAATAAAAAAACATCTCTAAAATAAACTGCTAGAATAATAAAACCATTTCAAACACAATCAGTTCATTCAATACTGTTTACACCGAAGGATCGAATACCTAGAGAAGACATCATCATTACCGTTTAAAAAATAAATTGGAATAAACTGCGATAAACAGTTTATTGGTCAAAGTGGGCTTCCCCTTCACCTCATAATTCAAGAACATCAATTAGCTATGAAAAGATCTGATATGTATATTCTTTCGTATCATTGCGTGTAGATAATTACAGATACCAATTTGACTGGCTGAATGTAGAGATTTTGAAAAGATGGAACAGTAAAAATGCCAGGGGATTTCCATAAGTCAGCTGTTCAGATGAATCAGCGATTAATAAAAACACACTAATATGGGGTCACACTTACCAACTAAGCAAAAATAAATAAGAAGACGTAGTTTATCTGAAACGTGTAATGTATTGGCGCAACACATTTCGGACATTCTGATCACACACGTACTTGTCATACACAGTTTTTATATAATGCAAGAAGACATGAATAATTACAATACAGGTCAAGGTCACAAATGATGGGTAGGGAGACACAAAAGGTGAGGGTAAGAAAGACAAAAGGAGAGAAAACAAGGCAAAGAAGGGGTTGAAAATATTAGGAAGTAAATTAGTCCTTGGTTCTAAACTGAATTACCAAGGCAGGTTTAAGGTGATAACAAATAATTTTTGTACACATAAGACAGGTTTAAGTCTTTTTATGGCTAAGGCTTCAATGAATTTAAGTATGTGGCCCGACCTCGTTTTATATATCGGCTTAAAGGCACTGTTGAAATCAACCTTATGACCCGTCTCTATAATATGCTTGGCTATAGATGATGTTGGACATCTATTTCCGGGTTCAATTGTGTCTGGTGATTTCATTTGTTGCTGCAGCCACTTGGGAATGTGTTCTGTAGCCCTAACCTGCAGAGACCGATGGGTCCTCCCTATGTACGTGTCTCCACACATACATGTCTCGGTCTCTGCAGGTTAGGGCTACAGAACACATTCCCAAGTGGCTGCAGCAACAAATGAAATCACCAGACACAATTGAACCCGGAAATAGATGTCCAACATCATCTATAGCCAAGCATATTATAGAGACGGGTCATAAGGTTGATTTCAACAGTGCCTTTAAGCCGATATATAAAACGAGGTCGGGCCACATACTTAAATTCATTGAAGCCTTAGCCATAAAAAGACTTAAACCTGTCTTATGTGTACAAAAATTATTTGTTATCACCTTAAACCTGCCTTGGTAATTCAGTTTAGAACCAAGGACTAATTTACTTCCTAATATTTTCAACCCCTTCTTTGCCTTGTTTTCTCTCCTTTTGTCTTTCTTACCCTCACCTTTTGTGTCTCCCTACCCATCATTTGTGACCTTGACCTGTATTGTAATTATTCATGTCTTCTTGCATTATATAAAAACTGTGTATGACAAGTACGTGTGTGATCAGAATGTCCGAAATGTGTTGCGCCAATACATTACACGTTTCAGATAAACTACGTCTTCTTATTGTGTTGTCGAAATTCATAAAGGGAACTAATTGCTTTAAAAATAAATAAATCACTTCTTAACAGAAAAGTTCAATTTTCAAGTCGAATATAATGAAAAATAAAGATGTAATTTAACAGCCGACCACGACAATGCTTATCTGTAGGGAGATACAATTATCTCACCTGTCATGGAGAATTCAAACAAGTTTACTTCTCATAGAAGCTTTCACTGAAGATGTTGTCCAGGAGGATAACGAATGCTTTGCAATTAAATCAACTAGCTCAAGCAGCCCAGTCAAAATGAAGTCATCCCCATATCAGATAAAAAATTTTCTCAAACTACTGATGAGCAACATTCATAGGTCCTTTTAATTAGTTCTGTGTAAAAATCGATACTCAAAGTGAAGTTACTTTACCGCCTAATAGAACATCAAAAATTTTCTTATATGTGAATAGAAAGTTGATACATAAAAAGAAGCGTAACACTGTCTAGAAGAAGAAGGAGAAGTGCACTAACACACAAGTCAGAAATTATAGCTGAATAATGGAATCTAATAATAAGAATAACAAGCAGCTCTTGACCTGATTATAACATTTTTTTGTTCTTCTCTTTCCCTAATTGGACGTAGAATTGGTATAAATATAAACGAAGGCAGAAATAAGTAGAAATCGCTCATTAGACGAGTGAGACAAAACCATGAGGTCTGTACTATCACCAGTTGTGATTCCACTCATCCTTTTATTATTTGGGTATAATACACTGGACAAAGGTAAGTTGAATATGACTTTTTTCTTAATCTGAGTTGATAATTTAATGTGAATTGTATATTTTATTAATGTGTGCACCGGTAGGTCAGAGGTAGAACACTCAGCAATCAGGCACGTGGTTTGCGCTTCGGCCCCAGTTGACTCATTTCTGAACTTCGGCTAACTAGTAATAACCCGGGTAGAGAGTGGAGGTAACAACAGATTACGACTGTGAACTACAAAGATTTTCAGGAGATATGCTGTGCATGGAATTTGGAGAGTATAATTCATCTTGAATAAAGCAGAAACAGTGGGGACCTATTTGTGGATGAGATTATGTCTGTGGAAAACGGAAATTCGGTCGGTGTGTCTCATAGCTTGACTGACGGCATGTTTCCTCCCATACTCAAATAATAATATCAGTTTCTTTATAAATGTGAATTAAAAAGCACCCTGAATAAGCTTTTCGATGGTGAGATTGTTTGAGGGGAATACTTCAAACCTGGCTTTATTTATTTATTTATTTACTCATTTAATCCCTTTGCGTACCGAGTGTGGGACGCAGGTCTTCGTGTTGGAGCTTTGAAGTTTCAGTTGTAGTGATGTTTATTTTTTATGGGGTGGGGTCGCTAGCCTCACGCTCAACCATCCGTCCTCTCCGGTTTTACTACTGGCTAAACCAGATTGAGGAGTGTGTTGGCCGAGGATCAAACCGCAGACCACGTGCGCTGTTGTCGAGCGCTTTAAACTTGAACCACACCTGACGATGACGTAAAATAAGACTATTTTGCCTGAATTTGAAACTCACCCCCCACTGACATCGTATATCTGTGCTTCTTTACCTATTTGTATTGTTAATAAACGTTCTTATGTATCTCAAGAAGATTGATTCGAGCATTTTCTAGTGTACACTTGTTACAATAAAATGAAAGACTCGTGTGCATAACAACAAGTGCTTATCTCTAGAATGTACTCAGTCTACGAAACCACTTCCAGTCACCAAGGATGACACTTTATCACTACTGACATGTTTGACTATATTCTGCCAGAATGACGAATCTACTAAAATGTATGGTAAGGTGTGCAGGAAAAGAGATTCACGTGGTTATATCGCAGTTTGGTGTTTCTCTAAAATTCCGTGACAATTTTCATACTGGACAAGAATAAAATATTTGATAATATTGATACAGGAGATGAGGAGAGAAATGAACAACCCGTAGGCTGTTACTTTATGAGTAATGTTTTGATGGAAGGTGGTCTGATAGAAAGAGAACAACATGGTTATTTTTGATTTTCTTCACTGTTTCTGTTCACAAGGACATGGGTATCTATAAATGCTCTAATAATTTCTTATACTGTCTGTCCTTCGTTGTATCAGTCATGCGTGTTGATGTCCGAGATATGAACAAGTTGTAGGGAACTTTAACTCATTTTTCGCCTCACCGATGAATATCAATCGTATTGGAAATGAAGAAAATGTTCAGTTTATCACTTCAGACAAACTTAGGTAAAGAAATTATCTTGATTTCACCACTTCAGTGTGGAAGTAGGAGGAATACGTAGCCCCTACCAACAGTAACTAATCTCAGTTCTCTGCATGACGTCTTCATACATTGAACAGCAGCAAAGATATGGAAGTCCCTTTCAGTCAACACGTTCCAAATACATTCCGACTGATTTTCTACTCGAATATCGATCGACGAAGGAACTCTGCAAACAGCTTGCGATAATTTTGAATTTTAATCGGGATTAACCCGGAAGCATACGTAACTGAAAAACCTGTGCTGATATGTGTACTGAAAACTTCAACACTAATTGTCGTCCACATTGGACTGAATCAGACACCGAATCAGTAAGTTTGTTGACTCCTTCTAATTCACGAATGAAACTGTTCCTCATTTTGTCTCGGTAAATGCAACATCAGCTGAAGCAGCCAGCATATTTTGCATCTGATGGCTGTGTGCCGAGAGACAGTGTGCGTGTGACACTGTTGTAGACTGAAACTTGAACAAATGTGATGTGCGAAAATTTCTCATTATCACGCAAACTGAATTAAACAGCAGTTACTGTGGTTTTGTTCACATGATAAGTGTAATTCAAAATTTCTGAAAATTAAGCGTCACACGTTGTTTGGCTTCATTCTGTGATGAATTGCATCACCCAGCCGAATACTATGGGACAATTTTTCACTTTAGCATGTTTTGGTTTGGAAAGTTGATTGATTACAAATTCATTACTCAATAATTTATGAGAGAAAATGTTCTCTTTGTTTTTTTCTTACAGTATCAGCTAAACCACTAGCCTCTACTAATTCCAAACATCTTGGCAAATCTAAAACTCCAGGTTAGTTAGTCAGTCATTTGATTTCAATTTTCACTCCTTCTTTACTACTTCAAATATCGTAGTGATTAAAATAAAGTTGAACTACAATGTCCACAAGTTTATGCATTCAGACACATGCAGCCACCTCAAAGGGATATTTATTCCCAAAAACAATTATTATTATTGAATACATTTATATTGTTCTGTGCAGTTCTACTGAATCCTTCTTTGATCGCTTAACCAATTCATGATTTTCAGCGACATTTTTGCTTTCCACTTGGACTGGGAAAAATACAAATTGAATAATTACAGAGTATCTCCTGAAGTTCGTCGAAACGTGGAACACAATTTACTCCTCCATTCGTATTGTATGCTATCAAGTAACCAAACATTCATTGTCGGGCTGAAATTTCATTCAGTCCTGTATTCTAGTCTACTTCACTGTGTAAGTGTCAATCAACCTTCAGTACAGTGGACGAAAGTGTGAAGAGGAAATTATCCATAAACATACACATGACATGATGCACATTTGTTTTCTATAGTGACAAAGAGAATGGAATACTCAAAAAGCAGTTTTTCGCCCATTAGGATCTAACAACAAATTGGAAGGTGTTCTTTCTCAATTTTCAGAAACACTCAGAAACAAAGAGCTGTACGTTTCAAAATTGTACGTGGATTTGACTCTGCAGATCGCCAATCTCCTCTCACAGACACACATTATCTCAATTACCACCACTAAACGTTTTCAATTAAAGGGAAAGCTTGACAGAGCACTGACTACCGCTAATTCATCCTTTTATAATGTCGTATGATTTGCTAATAATAATAATAATAATGCATACGATTACGTTTCTAATACATTTTAGAAATTGCCTCAGTGGAACTGGTTCTGTTAGTCAGAGAGTGGAATGAAACAGCCATCACAAGAAATAGTGAAGAATCACTGAAAATTTTGGATAAATATTGTCAAGATGTAAGTAATTTCAATGTTCAGTGAAATAGGAGTCTGGAAGAGAGTTTTTGACGATGTCTGAATGTTTTCAATACAATCCCTTGACAATCACCATGGAAACTATCATGTTCATGACAATGGTGTCCATGATGGAAAACGTGTGTAATTGTTATACAACAAGGGCGACAAACTTGCCATACACATTTGAAATCAGTCGAAGAATTACTCATCACACTACTATGAGGGATTTAGAGGATATTCATATTTATGTGTCTGAATTACTTTCAGTCTCATGACCGAGGAGGCATAAACACTTTAATTTATTAATTAACTGTCGATTTGTAAATATTAGTCCCTTTGCCGTTCTCACAGTGCCAGCCAGCGTTGACTAGTGACTCTGCAGACAGCCTGTTCTTATTTCAGTAGACTATTTGCATTTAACCTACGATTTCTCTCTGTTCTTTTGTTGATGTAATCAGGTGAAGGATGTGGTGAAGAGTATGGAAAAGAAACTGAGTTCAGTTGCCTTATCATGTGATATTCCATTACAACTGAATCGAAATACCCAAAAACTCGAAATCACAGTGCAGCTTATGATGTCGTCCAGTGAAGTGGAGAAAGCGTTCTCGTCAAAAGCCTGGTTCAGACTATTTAAAGAATCAGTCAAACCTGGAGCAATCCCAGTTGATGATGATAAGTGGCCAACGGGTGAGTGAAACAAGTGATGTGTGTGTGTGTCTCATGACTAGGAATATACTAGTGGTTGGTAGAATAACTACTGTCATTTGTGAAATAATAATAAGGCGATCTATTGATTTAGGAGAATAGTAGTTCGTCAGCTAAATGGTATTGATTGATGACTACGCTCATTTATTTTTAGTTGTCAATGCAGTGTGACTAATGCAGTGAATAGTGATAATCTATGAGAGTGATTTGAATTTGTAAGCATATTAGTGGTAGTTGTTATGCCTCCATGTAACTGTTCGCAAATACACTGATGTTTTCGAGAGTCCATTGAATCAAATACGTTTCATTTCATTTGATTACAGCTATTGTGTCAGTAACGAGTAAGTTTATGATTTGTATAATATTGTCATATATTTTCTATTTCCCTTTATGCAAACAAAACACATACGTCCACATGGAACAATAAATTGTGAATACTTTCGTAGTGAATGCGGTTGTACTTGATGTTTTTTAGTAATAATAGTTTGCTTATGGATTCCGTGTGGAAAATACGTCTTCAGAAGCATGTCTTCATTTGAGTCTGTTCTCTGAAGTCTTTCACACCCAGTTGTACAATCGTTCATACGCTTTCATCGCTTCTACACATCATCTGGTACTCGGACTCACACCCAACTAGTCGCTTTCAGTTTACGCTCCACTTGATGGCCTGCCACATGATGTTACTCAACAGTTTCAGCGTATTTCTAATCAAACTCCACTTCTTCCTCCATATCTGTTCGGTGATATGTCATAGTCTGGTCCATTGCCAGAGTTCCTTGCTGTTAATCTTCTCCAACCGGCTATCCTAAATTCAGTGAGGAGAGAAGGTAGCTGACTGACTTGACATTAGTATTGAGAATTGGGATCTTGTTATTTACACTGAGGACAGGCATTTTTCACCCTAATTTCAAAAATTAACGAAGGTCTGTCTTGCCCTTTCGTTCCTGCCTCTGACGATGCCCTCAGTGCCACTATTAGTTAAAACATTTTTACCTAGATACGTGAGAGAGGTGGCTGCCGTTAACTTTCCCTCGTTGACGGTGATTAGTGCTTGCTGTTTTTGATTAAGTATCCTTATCATGTCTGTCTTCTCTTTATTCACCCACATATTTCCTTCCACACTGTTTGGTATTCACTTGTAGATCTTAGAGTTTATGCTTAGTTTTGCTTTTATCAGAGGAAGATGCTTCGGTTGGCCGTTCGCTGGGAGGCTTTTATCAGCCTGTATCATTTCGTCTCCCTGACTCTAGGGAAGCAATATATCTAAATCCTCCTTCCTACCGTTTCCGAACTTAGTATAGGCTGGTACATTAGTAAACTAGTAAACTAGTAGATGTTTGATTTCAATTCCCGAATTCGAACTCTTAGCTTACGCTTTGCACATTCTCACTTCAACTGTCTGAACACATTTCTGATGATTCAAATCATTCTGGTCATTTGAATATTCCTCCATCAGAGTGAAGTATTTTGGTTATGACAAAGCTCGCATTTAAATGATACGGCAATGCTTGCACCAATGGGCAAAACCCTATACTCCCTAATTCATAATCTGGATTTCTGAATACAACATGCACTAGGCTTATTTGTCTACAGCAGAGCCCAAGTAGCTGAGAGTGAATCAGTGATTGGGGAGAGTAGTCAACGAAATGTCTGTATAACAGTGAAGGATAAAAGTGTTTTCATCGTTTCAATCCACGAAATAAGATAATTAGTCAAGAACATCCTTGCCTGATTGACTAATTTAGTTAGCCTTTAACGATATTCATCAGCGTTTTGCTGTGAAAGTGTTGTGCCTTGAGCAGTATTAGTTATTTCTGAGCATTTAAATTTTGTTCACATCGATAATCGGTGTATTATTGTTGAATCACCAAACATACTTTTCAATTTTATTTCCAGGAAAGGTATGGAGAAACACAGGTGAGAAGATGACGTAATTTTTGATGAGTATTGTGACATTGTTAGGGAATTTCAACTCTATGCTATTTATTGATCCATGTGTATTGACTAAGGACTAGACTTCTCCTCTCACTAAGCACTGATGAGATATTAGATCGCCGTTTTAACGAATACTCAGTTTTCAGTCTTAATGTGTGTGTGTGTTGTGAATGAAAGTGCATGTAGAGGACTACATAATCAGGGGACCCGAACAGTGAAATCACATAAGGAGAAACAGCGTTGGTATCAAACTACTGCCGCATAAGATTTAATGAGGTGATTGAAAGTGCTCACAAGATTAAGGAGAAGCAACAGTGGAACCATTAGCGAGAAAATATATAAGAAAGAGTTTAAGGCAATTGTGGTTCCACCATATAAGGAAGGGATGTCTGAAACTTTAAGTAGGATTCCTAGTAAAGCAGGAATTAGGGTGGAGTCTTAATCCTACAGTTTCACTCAGAGACAAACTCTCTAGACTAAAGGACTCTAATGACGTAATGTATTTTACAAAATACTTTGAAACGACTGTGAAACCAACTGCATAGATCACACAAGTAGATCGTTGGTGGTCAGATTATCTTGACACAAGAATTTATCTGAATGACTGGCCACACAAGGGTGAATAGTTTGGAGTGAGGCTGAGCAATCTTAATGCATGTGCTAACACACAGTTACACAACAGGGGAGGGACAGAGCTAAAGTGATGACAGCTTATACATGTTGATTGAGTGAGATGAAGACGCCTGAATCCTTGTTTATCTAACACGTGCAGTAGGAACTACGCAGTGTCAGTCCCTCAGATATGCAGACATTATTACCAGTAAGATCAAAGGATAAGAAATAATAAAAGTAGTAAATAGCAAAGTTTGAAACTAACGCTTGTGACCTGATAAGAAATATGAGGAATAGGTCTTACCAGCAGCGTCATCAGTAAACAAATACTGTTAATTTCGCTATTCGCTAAGAGCAGATAACTTAGTTGTGTCAGAGAAATTACGTCACCTTGTTCAAGAAGGTAAGATGAAATCGTTTGGAATTTTATTTTTTCATTGGTGTTTTTAAGAAGGGTGGTATCATTTTTTCTTGAATTGATCTTTATTTTAGAATACACACTGTCCTATCCTGTGACATTTGAAGAACTCCCCAACGGTTGGTGCCAAAAGGTTAGTCAGCTGGTTTTAATTCGGACTTACTGAGTGATTATTCAGTGCGGCCAATTGGAGTATTTTACAATGAAATACGACGCTGAATTTATCCACACCAGTAGGCCTGTAGTGATGTGGAATGCTTCATTTTATTTATGTACTATGTAAGGAAGATGTTGATCTCAGTGTAAATGCGGCTGTTTACACCCTTCAAACGCGAGATGATGTAACAACGTCTGCTAGTGGAGAGAATGGTAGCGAAGTAAGCGGGAATAATGATGAGTGTTAGTAGGTGTTAGAGACGTTTACTGTTACCCTTCTTATGTACTTACGTGGAAGGTTTACTGATGCCTGTCAGTCTGATCGACTCCGATTTTTGAGGAATTGGATAGCCACTGCAATACTGTTTCGTTGAGTTGAAGTGCTCAGAGTTTATATAAATGTTAGCTGAGAACCTTGATAAAGCTGTCAGTCTGCTGGTAACTTTGAAGGGGAGGATATTCGCTTTCTGCTGATGCCCTGTATGCTGGAGCTTGCATTCAGTGGTTAGTATCCAATGCAGATTTAAGGAGAATCCGTGAAACGTTTCTTTGTGCTTTGCTGCTACATTCTTATTAGGAGTCACATTAGCCCCAGTGGATGAACTGCATACCGAATCTGGTTGGTTATACATGGAGGAATAAGAAGAGGACGGAGAACAAGAATCGGCGTTTACCGACCTTCATGGTTGAGAAGCCACCACCTGAAAAATTTGTGTGATGTGTCATTCCTTAATTCTTTCGTACTTATTTATTGTCGGTGATATATGTGCAATGAAATCGGAAAATATAATGACACTGGTAACTTTCGATTGTATTTCACTTCATAAGGCTTCCGTCTCGCTCAAATGTGAGAGTACGGAAAGTAGGAAAGTGAGTAAGTACATAAGAACGACTAGCTCAGTGAGAAGAATGTGGTTCTCAGTATGTAACTGTGAGGAATTCAATTTCATTAACATGGGATGGATAACTATCCAAATCGAGGCATTGTACGCGCTTACTAGTAAATAAATATGCCTACTGCTGTAAAGATATATAAGTGATGCTTTCCGAATACTTCCTCCTTTCTGACACAGCTAATGTTGTTTTGCTAAGGTAACTGTTAAGCAGAGCGGTAGATGGTTGTGTAGAGTGATTTCGATCTGTGTTCCACACGCCAAAATAGCTCTCTTCATGAACAGAATAACGACGAAGTGAAATGCACTCACTGTGTAATGCAGTGTACATATGCATTGTCTTATGCTACTTACTACCTCGTTAACAAGTTTCACAGAAATCAGCTAGATTTTGGTCTACAGTCAATTTGCTTTGGATGGTTGGCTAAAAGTTTCTTCAACAGTGTAAATAGTACCAAATGCCTTTCAGTGATTCCTACTGATCTGATCTTTGATTTACTTTTTGAGGTGACTTTTGTGATCACTGTCAGATGTAATCATATTTATTATTATTTTGAATGATGAGTGTTATTCAACTTTGAGGTTGTATTCGTTTTATTTTCAATTAACTGAGATTGCTGACTTTTCACTTTATCTGTTTGGCTGATGTTTTTAATCAGGTGGAGAAACAGGTGTCAAAGTTATATCCTGGGTTGAAAGAAACAATTGAGAAATGTTCATTTAATAAGGAGAAACAATCAATCCAGTTGAAGTTATCAAGTCAGAAGCTTTTACAAAAGGGTTATCTTAGTTCACGCAATGTTCTCTTTTGGCGTTTCCTATTTGGTGTTACTGAAGTACAGTTGGCTGATGTAAACTCAGGTATGTAATGGCAAAAGTGATATTTATTAAATCGTATGCGGGATATGTTTAGTGGATTGTGCTATGCACTTACTTATAGACTGAACGGATATTTGAAAGTTCAGGTGCTTTGTGTGGAACAAATGTCAAATATCTATGAGTGTCTGCAAAATAGGATGATGACCATTTGTGCATTATGATGCTGCTTGTTATCATCGAGTCAAAAGCGAACTGATCAGAGAGAACAGTATGTGTATAGTTGTGAGAAAGTTGTCCTTGGCCTATTCCTAACAGACGTTATTAGCAACCCTGTGAAGAAATATTTCTCATTTGCTTAGAATGAATACAATTCGGCAACAATGTTTCATAGCCATGCGGTTCAGTAACCTGACACATCACGAAAATCATTTTTAACAGGCTACTGCAAACTTTTATGAGTAGCTAGCTGATTTCACTTAACACAGAAGAACAGAGAGCCAACCAGAAAGGATAGACGAAATACAACTACAGGCTGCGAACCAACCGAGAACCTCTCAGCCAAAAAATATGTAGGAGGAAATCGAGATAGATTCAACATATGCTGAAGAGATGGTTGAGTGACATCACATGTCGGGCTGTCAAGTGGAGGCCAGACCTAGAAGCGATGAATTAGTCGTCAGAGGGCGGAATGAAGAGGATGATATTAAGAGGGAATAGGAGTAGAAGACTAAGTAAAATGCAGTTATGTTCCTGAAGTCTAGTTATAGTAAAACGATCGAAGACAAAGAACGACTTTCTGTATGCTACTGATATACCTAATAAGTAGTACATGCCACAGCTGGATAAAGAGCAATGAAATGATAGCATAAATAGGAGGCTTAATTTCAAAAGCAGACCACCATTTCATCCTGTTCTCTGCAGTCTTTTTCACTTGGATTTTGATTACCAAAAGGCATTCACCTCATCCTCACACGATCTCCTAAGTGTGACTATTTGATCAACACTCAATCCATTGTTTCATATTCGGGTTCCACTCTAGTTCCTTTTTGGCATGTGATACCACTAAACGCTCTCATTAGTACATGTTCGATCAGTTGATCTCCAATTCCCTGTTCATAAATGTTGATTTCTTCGGCTTCGTTACCAGACTTCCTTGTTTTGTTTCCCTTTTATTTCTGGCCTGCCATCTGTTCTTCAGTATTGACCGAAAGGAACTGTTAACTGAAGTTTGAAGCCTACTGCAGCAATATATGCCGATCATATGCGACTCGCCATGTTTGCAAAACAAGTGACAGCTTCACTTGTTACGGGATTGATCAGAAGTTTAAATGACTGAGAGAGTCATTAGAGGACCAGTCGGGAGTACTGAAGAGCTGCTTCATCCTGGTTTGAGACTCCTCAGCAGTAAACACCCACTAGAGTTCCAGATGAGGAACTCCCGGTTACAAGGCGAGTTTATAGACCATTCAGCTACTTGTGTCCAAGCCATTGGTACGTGAATTTCAACGTCTGCTAATCTGGTGAAGTGTATTTAGCGCATCTGTCAGCCAGTGTCTGTAACCGATCGTGATCAGATCGTGATCAATCGTGTAACCAGTCAAACAACCCCCTATACACCAACACAAGAAAATTAATCTGATGCTGACTAGCAGCGACTGGCTCTATATCGGAAGTTACTTGAGATTTCAAAATGGGAAGTCGTTGTCAGCGAGATCCATCAGGTTTCCAATCAGTAGGTTTATTGACCAAGTTTTGATAACAGGCGGCTTTCAGTAAATGAAAACCAACCGATGAAAATCATAATACTAACAGTTTTATGAAGAGTTTCTTTGTAATATATATCTTCACTTTTCAACATGATTTCCAGAGGTTCTCATAGCTGAAATAGAACTTTCAGTCAAACCGTTGGTAATTGGAGACAACAAATCAGACCGTCGATTCTTAGCAATCTTAGACAACCTCTGCAAAGATGTGAGTACAGTTTGTTTTGAAAATTTTTCAAAAGTGGTAATGTATTGTAAAAATATGTAGACTTTTTTTGCAAAGTCAATGTCTTCTAATATTGTTGAATAACTTCCTAGTTTATTTTGGTATTTTTTTTGAGAAGATACCTGAGGAATACATAAGTCGTTCTTGGAGACTCTATTATTTAACCGTGGAAGTACCAAGATCAGGATAGACAGCATGTTCATCACCAACCGTATTAGGATGTCTATTTATTTGCTAAAATGTCGACTATGATACACCGAAATACGGAGGCAACTCGGAAACTAGGATTCACCTCCTGTGTTGGACGCTTTCTTCTCAGTTCTTTCATACAGACAAATATGCCATAGTATGCTTCATAAGCTTTCGTAAGTATAGAGTATAACTTGACAGAAGAAGTAACGATAGTGTAATAGCCAACTCCGAATTTTGGCGTTGTCCCTGTTCCTCTCTTCACTGGAATAATTCAGCATTTATGGTGGAGCGGTAAAACTAAACGTGGAGATTTTCTTTGTGTTTAGAACAAGAAGTTTTCCGTTGTTTGTTCTTCAAGATGACGATATCATCATGGCATCAATAGAAATGCCCTAAATGTACACGTGGAAGGCTGTTATTATTATTATTGTTTCCCTTGGTTTCCTAGTGGAACATAGTGCTTTAACTGCACATCTCCACTTGTTTCTGTCTTCTGCTGTACTTTTCACCTGCATCCATGTTAGTCCATACTGTTTCAACTCCTTTTCACACGATCTCCTCCCTTTCGGGTTCCACTCGGGCACTGGCCTGACGCGCAACGTCACCCAGCGGCCTCCTCAGCGAGTGTCCAATCCATCTCCACTTTCTCCTGCATATTTGTTAGGCGATTGGTTCTTGTTTTGTTTGTTTCTTGTTGGTGATTCTTTCCGGCCATCTGATCTTGTTGATAAAGGTCTGCAACAGGCTGTTTTAAATATTCTGATCCATCCGTATAGAAGAACTGACTGACTTGACGTTTGTATTGGAAATCCGAATCACTTTGTTGTTGATGCTGAGTGAGTGAGGAAGATTTCCAGATTGGTCTCAGGTTGATGAATGTGTTTCTCGCCTTCCCGATTCTCGATTTGACATCGTCGTCCGTTCCTCCTCCTGTAGTTGAGACAATGCTCCCTAGACAAGTGAATGAAGTAACCTCTTTCAAATCCCTCCCGTTGATGGTGATTGGCGTTGGATGTTGCTGCTGCTGTTGTTGTCGTTGGTTGGTTATTTTCATAACCTCCGTCTTGTCTATGTTCACCTGGGGTCCTGTCTTCACTAGTTGCTTCTTCGACCAGTTTGTCGGTTTTCGCTTGTAAGTCTTCGATGTTGTGTGACATCAAACATTAATCATCCACGCGCGAAATCCAGGTCTTCTAGGTTCTTCACGTTGCTCCGGAATATCCCTGTCTTCTCGTTTCCCACTGTCTGAAGCATAATCCAGTCCACCACAATTAGGAATATGATTGGTGATAATAGGCACCCTTGTCTGACTCCTGTGTTTACTCCTAATGCCTCGCAGAGTTTTCCGTTGTGGATCACTTGACATGTGCCGTTGTCATATAGCTGTTGAATAAGGTTGATGAATACTTGGGGTACGCCGTAGTACTCGAGTAGTTTCCAAATTACTTCGCGGTCAACGCTGTCGAAGGCCTTCTCAAAGTCTATGAAGTTGAGGTAGAGGTTTGACTGGCATTCCATGCTTTGTTCGATGATGATGCGTAGAGTTGCTATTTGGTCAGAACATGATTTGCCTTTTCTGAATCCAGCTTGTTCTGGTCGGAGTTCTGTATCCAGTGCGTCCTTGATTCTCTCCAGATGATGCGACTCAGGATTTTACTTGGCGTCGACAGGAGCATGATTGCACGCCAGTACTTGCAGAGTTCTAGGTCGCCCTTCTTTGGTAGTTTCACAGGGTAACCTTTCCTCCAGTCAGTAGGCACCTTTCCCTCCTTCCAGACCTTTTGCAATAATGAAGTCGGCATATCCACTGTCGTCTCTGGGTCTGCTTTCAGTGCATCCGGGAGTATTCCACCTGGTGCAGCTGCTTTTCCAGCTTTCATAAGCTTGATTGTATTCAAGACTTCAGCTTTCGTTGGAGGATCGGTGTCAACTTGCAGTTGTGTACGTGCTGTTGTTGGCATTTCTGGACGGGTTGCAGGTAGTGGTCGGTTCAAGAGTCTTTTGAAGTGGTCCACCCATTGTTTAATCTGTCTTTCTTCCTCGGTATTTGGGTTCCCTTGGTTGTCTTTTATAGGTTTCACTTGTGTTGATCTCTTCCCTGATAGAGACTTGGTTATCTGATATAATGTCCTCAGGTCCCTTTTGCCTGCTGCCTTCTCAGCTTCAGTGGCCAGGTTGTCGTAGGATTGTCTTTTGTCCTTCCTGGCACTCTTCTTCACTTCTTTGTCCAGCGCTGTGTAAGTTGAGCTCAGCGTCTCTTTCTCTTGTCCGTCTTTGCATTGAATCATTTTCTCTTTCACCATTCTCCTCTCCTCTATCAACTTCCAAGTGTCCGTTAGGAGCCATTCCTTATCTTCTTTCTTCTTTCTTCCTAAAAGCGTTGAATACGTTTCGTTGAAAATTACCTTCAGAGAGTGCCAATGGTCTCCCACGGATGATTCCTCAGTGATGTCACGTAGTGCTTCCTGCTCTGCTCTGACAGTCGCAGTGAAAATGTCCTGTGTGATTGTGTCCTTCAGTTTTTGAGTGTTGAACTTGCATTGTGGCCTATCCCCAGCTATCCTCGAGGCTTTTGGCTTCATCTTGAAAGTCTCTTGTACTAGATAGTGGTCTGAACCCACATCTGCTCCTCTCCTCGATCTTGTGTCTAGTAGGCTCCATCTCCACTTTCTTGAGATTGAAATGAAGTCTATCTGGCTTTTGGTGTGTCCATCTGGTGAAATCCATGTTGCCTTGTGTACATCCTTGTGTTTGAACACACTACCATCAATCACCAAATCACTGAAGGCGCAGACGTCTGAGAAGAGTTCACCATTGTCGTTCATTTCGCCGAGGGCCTCACGACCCATGGTGAGTTCTCTTTCTGTATTGTCTCCTCCCAGCTTCGCATTCATATCACCCATCAGGATTTTGATATCGCTCTTTGGGACGTTGTCCATTACTGTTTGTAGTTGACTGTAGAAATCCTCCTTCTTCTCTTGTTCTTAGACGTTTGTAGGTGCGTAGCATTGAATGATTTTAACCTTCCTTCCTTTTGAGTTGAACCTGACTGTCATTATCCTGAAGGAGATTGGTTCCCACTGCATGAGAGCTTTAGCTGCCGTTGGTGACATCATGATGGTTACTCCCTCGGTGTGCTCGTGGTCGTCCTTTGGGTAACCGGAGTAGATTATTGTCTCTCCAGTTGGTAGTTGGCACCTTCCTCATCCGTTCCATCTGCTCTCGCATATTCCTAACACTTCTATTTTATATCTCCTCATTTCTGCGGTTACCTAAGCAGCCTTTCCAGTTTCGTAGATTGTACGAATATTCCACGTCCCCATCCTTATTTTTGCTTTCATCGAAAGAAGGCACATCGGCTGACTGGCTTCTCGAAGGCTTTCACCAGCCTGCGTCATTTCACTTCCCCGATTCCAGCGAAAAACAAGGTTATTGTTTGTATTTTTAGAATTTTGAATATATCTGTGCGTTGAAGTTTTGTAGCAATTTAGTTAAGATATGGGGGTGTAGTTGCTAGCACCACGCCCCAACTCTCCTTCTTTATTCGGGCTTGGGACCGGCTAAAAACTAGTGGGCTGGTAATCTAGGCGAGGTTCATGAAAGGCTGTAGTTAGAGAATACCTACACTAACCAGTATCACTAGTTAACCCGAGGTATTCAATTCTGGGGAAAGAAATCAGTGAATCACATCTGTGGCATTTGTCAATGTAAATAAATCACCATTTTTTAAAATTTTCTTGTTGATTGATAAGATCAAAGTGTTCACCGTCTTTTGACATGTAAGCCCCTTGTACAACGTCTGAAGACTAAATCAAATCGAAATGATTTGGTGAATATTGACTAGCAGTGGAATCCAGTAGGTGTGCACTTCGTCCTATTTGGGGCTCATTACCTAGATGTATTCCTCAGTGAATGACGGTATTCTAAATGAGTCTGGAACACAGTACCAATCGTCCCAGACACCAAAGAGGCATATTCTAGAAGATGAGAGCCACCAGAAAGACCTTTTATGTAATGGATGTCTGTAATTATTTATTTTGAATTGAAGTTTGATTTTTCCGTTGATTGATGGGACGTGCTGATCGGACATGTCAACACAGGATGGAGATTTCAGTCGAATCATTCAGCGAGAAAGTCAGACTGAATTAGAAACGAAAGATAAGTGGCACCCACTTCATAAGGAATGACTCTCGTAATCTGGAGGATGACTCTTTGGCGTTTGATAAGATTGGTACTGAGTTTGAGACTCAATGAAAAGACCACCACTCACTGCAGAATACATCCAGATGCGAAGTGCGCACCCTGGAATCAACTGCTAGTTACCATACATCAAAATAAATCCCCACTTATTTAGAACATAAATCTCAGATTCGATTTCTAAATCTATTCACTAAATTTTCTTCAATAATTTGCTTCATAGACTGTTGTAAAAGACTACTGAATTTACTTTCAAACTTAAGAGAGTACTTTCTACTTGTTTCTGTTTTTGATATCTTGCATAGGTAAAAGAAGTAGTGAAGAGAACAGAGCCAAGATTGAGCTCAATTCCACTGTCATGTGATATCCCCCAGTTGGATCCAAATCAACTAAATACTCCTAGTAACATTACAGTACTACTGGCAATGCCACATAGTGAAATGCAGCAGGTATTTCCGTCAGAAGAGGGGTTTGACAGTTTACAATCATCCCTTGAATCTGCAAGTATATTAGAAAGTGATAAATGGATAACTGGTAAGTGAAATGAAGTCAACAGGGTTTAAATGACAATTACTGTGTTATTAATACAAAGAAAAGGGAGTAATTAAGGCTGAATGTATCAGTTTATTTCGGTAAAGTGTGCATCACTTGCTCGTGGGTAGAATGTTGGCCAATCGAGAATTTGGCTCAGTGTTTGATTCCCGATGGACCTACTCCTAAACCTCACCTAACAGACCATAAGCCCAGTGGGGGGCGGGTAACTTTGAGCGTCAGGTTAACCATCCCACTGTGTGTAGGGAAAGCGTGAAGACTACTGAAACCACTGACTGACTGACTGACTGACTGACTAGGGAGTACTCTACTGCTGTGTCATTCATTTTGTCAGCAAGTATAAATGACCCAGCCGGAGATCGAACCCAACTAACTAACTGTCTAGTTATCTTTAATTTTCAACTGACTAATTTCAATCCACATTCAAACTTGAGACCGATCAAATCTCTACAGATCAAGTCAAGAGGATGTAAATATTCACTTCTACAGATACTCGATACCACCACTCTATGTTGACTATAGGAGAAAAAAGGTGGAAACAGTCTTCTTGAGCATACTCGGGTTTATTGAAGAAAAGTAGAACTTAATTATTAGAGGAAGCATTCTCTGACTAACTGTTTAAGATTTTATTTCTCTATCAGTATCAACATTTTTCACTGTCACACCCTGATGCATTACACTGTTGTGCTTATACACATTTACCAAGATAAAATCCACGGAGTAATACAGAATAAACAAGTTTATTTTTGACATTTGTATAATTATTGAGGCCAGCCGGGATTGGCTTCAAATAGATATTGCATTGGTGGGACTATTTTAAGGACTAATTTTCAATAAGCTACAAAAATAACTTTAGAAGCTGATTCTAGTGGATTAATTTTCTCATCTGTTCAATTTGAAGAAAACGTAGAATCTACAATGTCACTTACCAACAACAACGACAATAACAAGAAACTGAAAGGAGATCGTCCACTTTACTTACCTCGATAGTAAGTATCATGTGAACTACACGTTGCGTGGATAAGGATTTCAAAGCCAACCAGGACCCATAAACAGAGACAGGTGTTCATTACTCTAAAATCGGCATGGTTATTTGCACCATTGAGCATGAAAGGCAAGATTCAAATTCTTGACACCAGTGCCAAATCGGTGCTGGTTTAGACAATTTTCATTAATGATATGAATTTCTCATATCAGGTTTTCACCAGACTACTCAGAAATTTTGTCGAAAGAAGTCTTTACTCAACACTGAAGACCACATAACCAGCTTCAACGGATAATGCAACACGGAACGCTGGCGAAACATCTGTCGTCCAACAATTATACAGAAGGAGATATACAGGACGCATTCTAAGGTGACCACTCGAATGATATTTCGCTCCAAGAAGGCTGTAACATAGAACCTGAAAGGGAATAATTGATGTAAGGGTTCAAGAATGATGTGAAAGAGATCATGTGAAAGGGATATATGAACTTGTAGACGATCACGAAGCCAGCTGAGAAAAGACAACAGAGAACTGAGTGAAATGGAGATATACATCTGAATCTCAGCGTTTCATTCAAAATACGAATGACAAAATTTGGAGTTATGTATATTTCACACCGAATTACAAGATTCAGAACAACGTTTAAGAATAGAAGGACATAGTGTTTACTAACCATTGGCTGCACAGATGAATGTTTGTGTCAGTTTTGTTAATCACTCAGTAACTTCAAACTCTGACTATCGGTTACTTGATACTGGAGGGATAGTTTCTAGATACTGTATGCATAGCAGTTATCATCTGAAGCAGTTGCCTAAAAATCAACGAACTAGTACATTGCATTGATTAAAGTGAATAGTTTCACATGAAGTTTACTAATTAATTTGAAAATAAGCGACTCTTACGCACACACACACGCACAGAAACAAACAAACAAGCACATTTCAGTATAAACAATGAACACTAATGATGATACACACCTGATCGTCTCTTTTTCCTGTTTCAGATATCATTTCATTTGAAGGTAAGCACAATCGTTATGTTTCCAATCTTACGCATCGATTCAATTACACGCATTCAGCACGAATGAAGGTGTCGAAACCAGATTAAAAACTACAGGGCACGCATTCACCATTCTGAAATCAGTTTGGAAATCTACTACACTCAGTGTGAAAAACACAGTTCTCATTTTCAGCACTAATGTCAAGTCAGTCATTTCTAACCCTTGGGTCAGTAACACTGAACACACGTCTCGAAAATGCATTTCCATCAGGATACAAACTTTTATCGACAACTACCTTCACTCCATATTAAAGGCAGGCTGGCTGCAAAAAATTAGCCACAAGAAATTCTGAGAACAAACCAACAGGAGAGAACGTTTGCTCAACATCTTTTTCCGAAAGGAAATGACTATGGGTCGGACACACGCTGAGGTGACTGTCAAATGACGTCACACTCGAGGTCAGACAGTGAAGGGGAGACAGAAAAGGAATTGATGAGTTCGACGTCTGTCCAAGGTTAACAAGGAGGAGATCATGTGGGACAGAAATGAGAGACTGTTGACAGACATGTGGCCATCTAAACAGGACCTCAGAGAATAAGAAAATGTGGTGATGTGTCGTTGATATGGTGTGTCCCACTCCGGACGAAAGTGGATAAGAGTAATTGTAATACTACAGACACCATCTTAGTTTACTGTCAAAACAGACAGTTGACTAAACTTAACGAAACACCGTGAATCTCACTTCAAAGTTTGCATTGTGAGATTTAATTGTCGTCTGCCTATTAGTTATAGCCTAATAATCGTAGTATACAAATACGAATGATTGTTATCCCCATCACTTGACGAGTACTACGAAAATTAATGTACCTCAGTAACAACAGTTGAACCGATCGGTACTAATCACGAATTACAAGCTAACTGGTTTATTTGTGATACAGCCTATATAGAAAACGTTAGGACTACTATGAAGTGAAAGTTAAGCAACTTTTCTGATTAGTATTGGCCCACCTGAGGCCTCTGATAGTGTGAATGATAATCAGAGTAGCTGAAGCACATAAGTATGAAACTTCGACACTGTGGTAGAGGATAACGCCATTAGAGATAAGATTTTATTTTGATAAAGCGTCACACAGTGATGTTATACAGTAAATTAACTGATGACGTTTTGATGAGCACAATTTATTGCTCATAATCATATCAAGTCACTACTCACACTAATTTTACTGCATTTATGTACATTAGTGAAATTGATCAGATTGATTAGGTATGCTTAGGACAAAAAAAACTAAATTTGAATAATTATTAAAATCTCTCAGCATTAAATAACCACATGAAATAACCGCCTTTTAATGGAATGTTTAGATGTTTTTGTCTCACTATATACTCATAACAATTGAGGTGGCTATACGGTCTACTACGGTCTTTTAACCTTATGTTTCTTTGATGAAGTCATTGATAATGATGTTTTTCTTTTGGCGTGAGATAATTTCAGAGTAATTTTATTTATAGACTGGCATATGTTACGGAAAATATTTTTTAGAAGTAGCTCAATTTTGTGATGGCCATAGTGACAAATAAATGGGTTAAATAAAAAGCTGTCCTTGCAGAATTATGTGGACAGGAGGCAACACAACAGATTATGCCTTAACTGATAATACCCATACATCCAACTTCAATGGTCACAAAAGTTTCATTACAACTTCTACAGGGATGTCATAAACCGAGCCACTAACACACACACACACACAGTAGCCTGATGTTCTCCTCTAAAATTTGCGATAAAATTTATATCATAAATCAATCAACACTTTTGAAGGACTGTTGAAACTATCCGTTGACGCTTAAATAGTCATTGTTTCTCTAGACTCTTAGTCGTGAAACAGAATTATCATTATACTTGTATAGACATGTGGGGATGGCTGTGTGTGCAGTCAGAGAATATCCCAATGAAGTGAACAAGACTGTTGAGGTCAGAAGTGAAATTTATCCTGATGAAATGCAATAGGTATTAGGAAAATTTCATTAATCTTAAATTGTAATCGTGCAAATAAAGACTAAATTCTGTTTCTGAGCGTATTCTAACCCCAGTCTACTGTGTTACCTTCTTCTCGAGTCTCTTTTTCATCTGACCTTTTCCATGGACATATAAGTTATCATATTCTATGTAAAAATATTACTGGATAAATTACTTAAATCTGTTTATAAGTATCACACATTGCGTGACTGATTTCACGAGATAAAAAAATCTTCTGAGAATATCACTGATTTCTTTTTTTAACTTTCAGAGCCATCAAACCTCGTCAAAGGTGAGACACCTGCCAATACTTCATCTTTTAAATGCCTAAGTCATTATTATTATTATTTTTATTATTAAATTACTCACGAATAAAAATGAGAAGTTAATATTGTGTGTCCAGTTTATAGCATTAATGCTGAGTGAATTTTATTGGTGAAGTTTCTAATTCGGTCTCATTAGGCTAAGTGATTCACTATATTTTGCTGCACTTTGATATTAGGCGACGGTTAAGAAGCAGTCGACAGGAAGCCATGAATATAAATTTTGTGATAATTGTTACTCCTTCGAGAAAAGATGATGTGCAAACGTGACTGGCAGGAGGTATTGGACAGTAAAAACTCAGGACTGGACATATGCAATTCGGTTATCCTGCAAGATCAATAAATCCCTTCCTTGCATTCTTATAGGGGATCAATCGTGCGTTGATCAATCTGAGTGGTAATGCTCCTAGTTATGAACGGTGGATAACGCTAACGTGAATCTCCAAGGATTGTATTAGTCCCTTCTGGGATCAGCATACCCCTTTCTAACAAGCGATAAAATTCACGAAAATCAGTTGTAGACCTTTCTCCCAATAACCTTCAATCTGAACGAAAGAACTAAGGAAAAAGAGATCCGATTACACAGATCAATCAAAAGTATAAATATTAACTTGATAAAGATAAACATTCTGAATGTCCGAATGGAGTTTACATTATGTGAGTAATTCATCAGCTGGGAACGAACAACTTTTCCAGGTAAACATTGTGCAGAATGACGTCTTGCTAACAGTTACCCAATTTTGACATATTCACACGCATGAGAGTATCCATGGCGATATATAGACAAACCTCGCGATATTTCCTTAAGGACTTCATGTTTATTTTATTATGTGGAAGAATAATGAAACGAACACTATTTACAAAGTTGCCCAAATGCGTCCGCACAAATTTATGTATTTTGTACACCATACAATGAACTTCACTGTAGATTTCTTGATGAATTGACATCATTTGACAGTTGTTTCGTCCCAGTTTGAAGCTCTTCAATGTCAACCACCCATAAACCAATCAGTGATTCTAATCTGGTATCTGAAAAGTTGGTATGTTTAGATATGATGGCATGAAGGTCCAGGAATTCAATCAGTCATGAGTTCTCAAAGTATGCACTGTCAAGCAGCCGCGAAATGGAATGAAACAGTTGCCCTCAGTTCTCATTGGTTTTCAGACAGATAATTGCTGACGAAAGTAAAACGTTGAAAAAGAAGATTTTTACGTTTTCTCATCTAATTTTTCTAATCTGAAATCTTCCGTGATTTATTTTAGGTGTACTTGACATCCATCTACAAGAATCTAGGAATTTGCATCTCACAAAATTATGCAACAAAGTTAGCTTTTATAATATTTTTCTTTTTCTTTTTTGAATTGACAAATGAAAAGTGACTTTATTCATTATGGCATTCATTATTGTCTCTGACATTGATTCCCCCATCTTCCAAATGGAAGATTTATGTTAAATACGGAATAATATTTTGGCAAGCTTAGCGCTGTGTTATGCTCAATACACCTAATCTAAATGTTGAACAGACTGTCATTGCTCTGAAATCAGTGTGAAAATCTACCACACTCAGCATAATAAACAATGTCCGAATTTTCAACAGTGAAGTTAAGTTGGCGCTTTTGTATGGCTCAGAGATTTGGTAGTCTCTTCAGCATAAGTATTTCCACCCAGGGTAGTGCAAACTCTCATCGACAACTGCCTCAGATAGTTTGATGCTGAATATTATTGATTGGCCGGCTGGGAAGGACAAGTAACAAAACTTTAACAAATAACCAAGTGACAACCTGTCACCCAGCAAATATGGTCACAGTCTGATGTTACCACTAAGTGACATCTCAAATGCCAGGCGCTCAATTTGAACCCGAACAGAAGGTGGTGGTTTCGTTTCGTTTTATGGAATAAGATCACACAATCTAGATAAGGTTTGTGAGTTTCTCAACCATGGTTCGAACCCGGAGGATGTATAAATGTCGAAAATATGTATATATAAATATATTTATGTATAATGTCCGAGATATTTATCTCAGGTGAATTCTTTGGGTGTTATTGATCTAAGCTTTCATTGTCTTACTAGATAACATCGTTAACAATGCCTTTACGTTGAATCAGAGTGTTACAATTCTGTATCAGTATTATCCATATGCCTTTCAGTCGGTAATGAATTTTATTTCCTCAAGATGCATCCATGATCAAGGAGTAGAATGTTCGCCTCCCACGACTCATGTGACTCAGATTCGATTGCCGCTCGGTATCCACATAAGCCTCATCTAGGAAAGTCTAGGCATGAGTGAAGTTAACGACCCCACCTCATGAAAACAATGCAAGCACTATCGAAACTCAGGAGCTAAAAATAGCCCTATGTTCTACTCAGAAGGCACAAGAATTGAGAAGGGATCTGCAAAATTATTTTTATTAAAAATTATTTTCTGATCTGGTTTGTTTCCCCCTGTTTTTGTTTTAGCATAAAACAACACTATCGAAAATGTATCCCGGAATTGATAAAGCAGTAGTTGATTGCTTTCCGGGCATAAACAGAACTGCAGTAATAATGCGACTGTCATTAGATGAATTGGTGAAGATTGGCTATTATAGTGAATATAATACACTGAATCTGCGCATCAATGATGCTTTGTCAGTGATGAAGCGGACACGTAAGTGATTCATTTCAATGTTTCATATGCTTATATATATATACATGTCATATTATTCCCATGAGTCCTGAGGGGAACACTAGATATCAACAGCACATTCACATTTTTTCTTGTTCACTGCAGTCCACTTCATCTCACCCGACAACTCCTCACAAGCTCAAATCTCCATCGCCATTAAACAACACTCATCAGAAATAGCATCATGAACATCCTCATCCTTCATTGGTTCGAATGCCATTCCAATCGCTTGGATTCCCGTCAAAATTCAAGCAGCCAGTCAGAGAGAATCTTGCGTAAACCATCAACAAAAAACACAACAAAATATGCCAAGCACACAACAACAAACACAAAAGCACCACACAAATTAAAAAACAGGCAGACAGAAAAAATATCAACAAAAAACACAAAGACACAGACACAAAATCACACAGACAAGCAATCACACAATCAACCGAAAGTCAAATCTCAATAAATAAATCCAACGCTCCATCGCTCGCTCGCTCACCCACTCAATCTCTCTCGCTATCTCTCCCTCCCTAACTCCCTTCACAGAAACACAACCAGTCACAGATCAGTCAGAAAGCACTCAGTCGGAAGGCACTGATCAACAGTTGACAAGCACGTCTCCATTCGAGTCAACAACACCAGGTCAGTCAATTCATTATGCTTATTATTCATATAATGATTATTATTACTATTATTATTATTCTTATAATTATTCAGCCAACACACGCCCTCTCCAATCACATCAATTCCATCGACCAGCAGTGTCCTTCTCTCACCTAACTTTACTCGGCTTCACTTGATTGGCTTGACTGCCATTGCAATCGCTTGGCTTCCCGTCAACATCCAGCCAGCCAGCCAGCCAGCCAGCCAGCCCGTCAGCGACCCAGCCAGCCATTCAGCCAACCAGAAGTCTAGCATCATGCATCAACCACCAGCCACTCAACTCCGCCTACCACACAACACAAAACACCCAAGCACCACCCAAACTAACCTCAAGTAAATCAGTCAGACACACTCACGCACACTCGCACACTCAGACACACAATCACACAGACAAGCAATCACACAATCAACCGAAAGTCAAATCTCAATAAATAAATCCAACGCTCCATCGCTCGCTCGCTCACCCACTCAATCTCTCTCGCTATCTCTCCCTCCCTAACTCCCTTCACAGAAACACAACCAGTCACAGATCAGTCAGAAAGCACTCAGTCGGAAGGCACTGATCAACAGTTGACAAGCACGTCTCCATTCGAGTCAACAACACCAGGTCAGTCAATTCATTATGCTTATTATTCATATAATGATTATTATTACTATTATTATTATTCTTATAATTATTCAGCCAACACACGCCCTCTCCAATCACATCAATTCCATCGACCAGCAGTGTCCTTCTCTCACCTAACTTTACTCGGCTTCACTTGATTGGCTTGACTGCCATTGCAATCGCTTGGCTTCCCGTCAACATCCAGCCAGACAGCCAGCCAGCCAGCCAGCCCGTCAGCGACCCAGCCAGCCATTCAGCCAACCAGAAGTCTAGCATCATGCATCAACCACCAGCCACTCAACTCCGCCTACCACACAACACAAAACACCCAAGCACCACCCAAACTAACCTCAAGTAAATCAGTCAGACACACTCACGCACACTCGCACACTCAGACACACAATCACACAGACAAGCAATCACACAATCAACCGAAAGTCAAATCTCAATAAATAAATCCAACGCTCCATCGCTCGCTCGCTCACCCACTCAATCTCTCTCGCTATCTCTCCCTCCCTAACTCCCTTCACAGAAACACAACCAGTCACAGATCAGTCAGAAAGCACTCAGTCGGAAGGCACTGATCAACAGTTGACAAGCACGCCTCAATTCGAGTCAACAACACCAGGTCAGTCAATTCATTATGCATATTATTCATATAATGATTATTATTACTATTATTATTATTCTTATAATTATTCAGCCAACACACGCCCTCTCCAATCACATCAATTCCATCGACCAGCAGTGTCCTTCTCTCACCTAACTTTACTCGGCTTCACTTGATTGGCTTGACTGCCATTGCAATCGCTTGGCTTCCCGTCAACATCCAGCCAGACAGCCAGCCAGCCAGCCAGCCAGCCCGTCAGCGACCCAGCCAGCCATTCAGCCAACCAGAAGTCTAGCATCATGCATCAACCACCAGCCACTCAACTCCGCCTACCACACAACACAAAACACCCAAGCACCACCCAAACTAACCTCAAGTAAATCAGTCAGACACACTCACGCACACTCGCACACTCAGACACACAATCACACAGACAAGCAATCACACAATCAACCGAAAGTCAAATCTCAATAAATAAATCCAACGCTCCATCGCTCGCTCGCTCACCCACTCAATCTCTCTCGCTATCTCTCCCTCCCTAACTCCCTTCACAGAAACACAACCAGTCACAGATCAGTCAGAAAGCACTCAGTCGGAAGGCACTGATCAACAGTTGACAAGCACGCCTCAATTCGAGTCAACAACACCAGGTCAGTCAATTCATTATGCTTATTATTCATATAATGATTATTATTACTATTATTATTATTATTCTTATAATTATTCAGCCAACACACGCCCTCTCCAATCACATCAATTCCATCGACCAGCAGTGTCCTTCTCTCACCTAACTTTACTCGGCTTCACTTGATTGGCTTGACTGCCATTGCAATCGCTTGGCTTCCCGTCAACATCCAGCCAGACAGCCAGCCAGCCAGCCAGCCAGCCCGTCAGCGACCCAGCCAGCCATTCAGCCAACCAGAAGTCTAGCATCATGCATCAACCACCAGCCACTCAACTCCGCCTACCACACAACACAAAACACCCAAGCACCACCCAAACTAACCTCAAGTAAATCAGTCAGACACACTCACGCACACTCGCACACTCAGACACACAATCACACAGACAAGCAATCACACAATCAACCGAAAGTCAAATCTCAATAAATAAATCCAACGCTCCATCGCTCGCTCGCTCACCCACTCAATCTCTCTCGCTATCTCTCCCTCCCTAACTCCCTTCACAGAAACACAACCAGTCACAGATCAGTCAGAAAGCACTCAGTCGGAAGGCACTGATCAACAGTTGACAAGCACGCCTCAATTCGAGTCAACAACACCAGGTCAGTCAATTCATTATGCATATTATTCATATAATGATTATTATTACTATTATTATTATTCTTATAATTATTCAGCCAACACACGCCCTCTCCAATCACATCAATTCCATCGACCAGCAGTGTCCTTCTCTCACCTAACTTTACTCGGCTTCACTTGATTGGCTTGACTGCCATTGCAATCGCTTGGCTTCCCGTCAACATCCAGCCAGACAGCCAGCCAGCCAGCCAGCCCATCACCGACCCAGCCAGCCATTCAGCCAACCAGAAGTCTAGCATCATGCATCAACCACCAGCCACTCAACTCCGCCTACCACACAACACAAAACACCCAAGCACCACCCAAACTAACCTCAAGTAAATCAGTCAGACACACTCACGCACACTCGCACACTCAGACACACAATCACACAGACAAGCAATCACACAATCAACCGAAAGTCAAATCTCAATAAATAAATCCAACGCTCCATCGCTCGCTCGCTCACCCACTCAATCTCTCTCGCTATCTCTCCCTCCCTAACTCCCTTCACAGAAACACAACCAGTCACAGATCAGTCAGAAAGCACTCAGTCGGAAGGCACTGATCAACAGTTGACAAGCACGCCTCAATTCGAGTCAACAACACCAGGTCAGTCAATTCATTATGCTTATTATTCATATAATGATTATTATTACTATTATTATTATTCTTATAATTATTCAGCCAACACACGCCCTCTCCAATCACATCAATTCCATCGACCAGCAGTGTCCTTCTCTCACCTAACTTTACTCGGCTTCACTTGATTGGCTTGACTGCCATTGCAATCGCTTGGCTTCCCGTCAACATCCAGCCAGCCAGCCAGCCAGCCAGCCAGCCCGTCAGCGACCCAGCCAGCCATTCAGCCAACCAGAAGTCTAGCATCATGCATCAACCACCAGCCACTCAACTCCGCCTACCACACAACACAAAACACCCAAGCACCACCCAAACTAACCTCAAGTAAATCAGTCAGACACACTCACGCACACTCGCACACTCAGACACACAATCACACAGACAAGCAATCACACAATCAACCGAAAGTCAAATCTCAATAAATAAATCCAACGCTCCATCGCTCGCTCGCTCACCCACTCAATCTCTCTCGCTATCTCTCCCTCCCTAACTCCCTTCACAGAAACACAACCAGTCACAGATCAGTCAGAAAGCACTCAGTCGGAAGGCACTGATCAACAGTTGACAAGCACGCCTCAATTCGAGTCAACAACACCAGGTCAGTCAATTCATTATGCTTATTATTCATATAATGATTATTATTACTATTATTATTATTCTTATAATTATTCAGCCAACACACGCCCTCTCCAATCACATCAATTCCATCGACCAGCAGTGTCCTTCTCTCACCTAACTTTACTCAGCTTCACTTGATTGGCTTGACTGCCATTGCAATCGCTTGGCTTCCCGTCAACATCCAGCCAGCCAGCCAGCCAGCCAGCCAGCCCGTCAGCGACCCAGCCAGCCATTCAGCCAACCAGAAGTCTAGCATCATGCATCAACCACCAGCCACTCAACTCCGCCTACCACACAACACAAAACACCCAAGCACCACCCAAACTAACCTCAAGTAAATCAGTCAGACACACTCACGCACACTCGCACACTCAGACACACAATCACACAGACAAGCAATCACACAATCAACCGAAAGTCAAATCTCAATAAATAAATCCAACGCTCCATCGCTCGCTCGCTCACCCACTCAATCTCTCTCGCTATCTCTCCCTCCCTAACTCCCTTCACAGAAACACAACCAGTCACAGATCAGTCAGAAAGCACTCAGTCGGAAGGCAC